TAATTTTTTGGGCTTATTATTTTCCTTATAGACTGCTCTCAAGAGATTTTTCAGCTCATTAATTTTGTTGTTGTTGATCCATCCTTGAATCCCTGGTATGAATTGGACTTGATCATGACTGCCAACTTTATAAGAAATCTATTATATCATATATTAAATATCTTAAAATATTTAAAAATACAACTATTCCCATTTTATAAGAAAATTTTCATCTTTGATAAGATTCATTGGTTTTGTATAGCCTTTTATTTTCACTCATCCCCCCACCAAAATTTTCTTTAAAAAAAAATCATTTTATTGGGGGCTCATACAGCTCATCACAATACATCCATAAATCGTGTCAAGCACACTTGTAGATTTGCCACCATTATAATTTTCAAAACATTCTACTTGAGCCCCTAGTATCAGCTCACTTTCCCCCCTCCCTTCTGTACTTTCCCTCCCCTCTTGAACCCTTGATAATTTATAAATTATTTTTTCATGTCTTACACCGATATCTCCCTTCACTCACTTTTCTGTTGGGTGGAAAGTGAGGGGGTTATATGTACATTATTGTGATCAGTTCCCCGTTTCAACCCAACTTTCCCTTCCCTTCTGGTATCACTATTTGTCCTGGATTCTGTGTTTCCAGCTCTTATCTGTCCCTGTGTACATGCTCTGGTCTAGCCGGATTTTCAAGGTAGAATTAGGATCATGATAGTGGGGGGTGGGGTGCAGAGGAGTATTAAAGAACTAGAGGAAAGTTGTGCGTTTCATCAATACGATACTGTACTTTGACTGGCTCGTCTTTTCCTTGTGACCCTTCTGTAAGGGGATATCCAACTGTCTGCAGGTAGGCTTTCGGTCTCTACTCTGCCCTCATTCACATTGATATAATTTTTTGGTCTGGGTCTTTGATGCCTACCTGATACCATCAGCACCTCATGATCACACAGGCTGGTGTGCTTCTTCCATGTGGACTTTATGGCTTCTCAGCTAGATGGCCACTATTTGTCTTCAAGTCCTTTTTTTTTTTTTAGTGGTGTCTTATGTTACTCTTAGATTGATGACTTCTGCAATTGTTCATTCCAAAGAACT